AATAAAAATCATTTTTTACTTGTAGCATCAGGGAACAGATTGCTTATTATGAAATATAATCAGTATGTGAAGGCATATAGGCATATTTTTTTACAAATTGTGTTTTCTGGCATCAGTTTGTTTGTATACATTTAAAATTTTGTTTCCAGCAAACTTCACCTGTGCAAATTGGTAATTTCTGAGAAGATAAATGTCAGTTTTGCTCAAAAGTATGCCTCCTCACAGAACAGAGCATATTTCAGAGGATTCAATGTGGCTAAAAATAACGGAATATTCTGCATTAATATATAACATATGCTATGTGTGGTCTGGATACCCAGCTAAGGCCTTTAACATGATTCTTACATTTCTCACATGAAATTTTCAAGTGGACTTTTTTTCTCTGCTGATGGACTGTTGGATATCTTATTCCCTGGTTCTTTCTAGCTAGTTCTTGGTATATATTTAAATTATATTTTACCTGTAAACTGAAGTCAGCAAAAAAAATCCTGTTCTTCTCAATGAGTTCTATATTGTCATTAACCTTTACAAGTTTAAGTGATATTCACGGGATGAATGTAAACATAAGCACACTTCACTGTTTTGGTTACACAATCCTGCCTAGTTTCTGTGTGCAAATTAGTTTTATAAATAAGAAAATGTGGTATTTTGGAGTGAAAATATTCTGACTTGTATGTAGCAGTATAAAAATTGCATGTGGAATTGAGACATGCTGCTCACGAACATTTGTTGGGCTGAACTGTATTCCTTGGTAAGCTAAAAATCAGATTTAACATGCCTTTATTTTGAAGGTATACATACAGATGAATTTTCAGAATAAAATGTGCTGATTACACATTTGGAAAGCCTGAATTTTGTAAATTAGATTGGTGGAGATTTGCATGAAGGAGCTCTTGCTAACACAAATGAGGAATGCCAGCCTGGTGTTGGGGTTTTGCTTCTTGAGTTCCTGTCCAATGCTTAGACACAGCTTCTCTTACATTGCACTAACAATTAGAAAAATTGATATTGTTTGAGTTTCAGTTTCAGACAGAATTTTTGGCAAGAGTGCTTCTGGATTCTGAATTTAAGGCAATGAGAGAAAGAATGACTGAAAGGGACAAGGCCACCAGCTGTAACAGGTGACAGGCATCACCTTTAAATTGCAGACCCAAACTTCCCTAACTAAACTGAAGCCACTTTAAATTAAAGTGGCTGAAAGCCCTTGGTAGCCAAAAGCCCCAAACCACTGCTATTTTTTGCAGTGACTTGGGATTGGACCTGGCTCACCTGCTTTTTACAGTAAAATGATGCATATCTCATTTCTGCAGTCAGGTGTGACAGAGCACCTGTAGCTGTCACCCTCCTCCCCTGGTGGGGTGGTTTCCTTCTGCTTTGAAGCAGTAGGTCCAAATGGGCCTGTAGGGATGCTGCTCCCCTTCTCCAAAACATTAGGAAAGAAGTGTGAATGGGTGGTCTGCTTGGGCATGGGAAGAAGATGATTGAGCACAGTCATCAGAAGATCCTGGAGCAGCATCTGTAGTTCTGCTGGTGGAAAGGTGGGTCTCTCAGTGATGATGGGGCTTCTAAGTTTGTGGATGGTAAGGTCTTGGTAAGAAAATTTTTAATAGGAATAATTCTGTTCAACAGTAATACTTCAGGTCTACCTACCTACCAGGTCTCAGATCTGGTTCTTGTTTGAGGAAATAACCTGTAGCTTTTGATCAAATCAGTTTCAGATTTTTGCCTTAGCTGTTGGTTTACCTGCTGAGGCTGGGGTTCTGCTGCTGGATCATCTAGAACACCCCCAAAAAGCACTTAGATCCCAATAACATGGAAATGAATAAATGTGAAGTGGTTTTCCCTGTGCTTGCTGCTGAGCGGGGTGGAGCCTGCAACAAGAGGAGCTCCTGGAGAAACAGCATGCCCATCATCTTGGGGACATCATTGGCTCTGTGCTGAGCAGGTACCCCTGAACTACTCCACCACCCCTCTTTGTGGGGACTTGGAGAGCATGCTCATCCCGATTATTTGCGTTAGGCCAGGAAAGTCAGTTTGTTGCATTGGTGATGGCATGGGATTTCTGTAGCAGTTTGGGAGCACAGGAAGCAAAGAGAGAGACAGCCATTTTATTTTAGGCTTATGCTATACATTGAGATTCATTATACAATTTTTCCCCTAAATTAATACAAAAATAGTAAAAATAGGTTAAAAAAAGCCTAAACGAAAACCCCTGACATCTTGCAAGCCATTTATTTGATGCACAGATTAAGACTTCTTGGAGCTTAAATGATCTAGAATTGTTTATGCCGATCTTTTTTTTTTTTTCTTTCCCCAAAATTAAAAAAAGTTAATGACTTGCAGAATGCCAACGACATCAGAACAATTTGTGCCTGAGAAGCGGCTGCCCCAGGCAGGCGCATGTGATGCTGAGGTGCCCTCTCTCCAGGCAGGAAGCTGTGCCAGGACAACAGGGCAAGGGGTGGCATGTCAGGGCATGCCATTCTGCTCCAACCCACGCACCATGGACAGGAATTTGTGTTCAAATGCCCTCCTGGGATACTTTTGCCATCTCTTTCTCAAAAAACCCCAACCAAACAAGAAGATTGCCATTGCGCTTTCCTGGCAGTGGATGGGTTTCACAAGGGTTTCCTGGGGGTTCATCCCCCCCACAATTTGGAGCTAAAGCTTCTCCCTGTTCTCCAGTAAGATTGAGGAGGGGGGATAAGGTTGCCCTCCCCACTGCACTGAGCTGGGGTCACTGGGGGTGCCCTGCAGTGATGATGTAGTGCCTGGCCATGGGAGGAAGATACTTCTTACCTTTGGGAAGGGGCTCTCCCCCCTCCCCACCTCCTTCTCATCAGACTTGTGTGTACTTCAGAAAGGCTTACTTAGTTCACAATATTTATAAGAAAATAAATGACAAGTACTTTTAGTGATAAATGTAGGGATAAAGCCATGGAAGAAATACTTTGTCCCTACACAGCTGAATTGTACAATCTGCTTTTTATGGATCAGAGTTTAAACATGTGCAAAGGCAGGGGAGGAAAAGGCTCTGGGTAATCCTTTCTAATCAAGAGCTTCCAGAAAGTAGTTTCCTACAGGGTTTGTGTCTTAGCACGCCAGCACTGGTTTAGCAAAACCCACCAGCAGTGCAGGCACAGTGTGAGAATCGTGAGGAGCTGTTCCTGCACGGAGCTGCTGCTCTCTGCAGGCTGCACACCACGGGAACCCCCGGGCAGGGCTGTGGGATGGGGACAAAGGAAATGGCACCATCACAGCCCCTGGTCTGGCATCCCCAGTGCCCACACAGCAGCGCTGCCCCTGCCACACTCCCGTCCTGCTGACAGCTCCCAACCATGCCAGAGGAGCTACTGCAACTGGAGTCCACAGCAAACCCTGAGCTGACTCTTCCTGGGTCTCCCTTAACAAGCTGTTTGCTTCCCAAGTTAACAAAATAGGAAAAACTACCATTTTGCTATGTTTTGAAGTCACCAGGTCTTCTCCCACAACCCACTTGCTTTGCTGGCTGTGTTATTCTGAGAAGCCAGTCTTCCTTCTGGACTCTCCTGATCTCTGCCCAGTCGTGCCACCACTTAGTTTTGTTTTCCCTTTGAATAAAAATAAAGGTGTTGGCTGATGTGGGATTTCATGGCTCACGGGAGGACAGTCAGCCTAGAAAAAACCATTTAAAAATACACCTTTCAATTTACAGTACATGTTTTACCTGAATTCAGCACTGGCTCAGAAGGCTTCTGAGAGCAGATGTGAATCCTCTCGTGACTCACTATAACCTCAGGCCACTTTGGTACTGTATTCCCTCCAGGTTCATGCAGTTGACCATGATAAGTGTATTTGCTTGTCTTTGGAAAAAAAGCTCTTTTTCTTTGACAGACAGGTTTTTCTCAACATTTCCAGCTCCATTTTAATCTAACTAGACCCTTCCACATTTCTGCTTTGGGCAGAAAATTCTATTTTCATCAATTAATTTTTATGGCAGAATTATTCCCGCTATAACAAATTTTCTTTCTTTATTTTTTTCCCCAGTTAGAGTAATTGTAAATCGAAAGTGGACTTGTGCTAACACAGCATCACAAGTTATATTACAAGAAAACTGGATTGATCTTGAGGGCCATATGCACGTAGGTTGGCTCTTTTTCCCCATGCTTACCCTGTAAAAGTATACTGTACACCATACCTTACTGTATGGGAATTTTAATGTTTGTAGAAGATATATGTGCTCAGTGAGCCATAGTCCTATATAGTCTCGTTAGCCTTAGCTAAAACTTTCACTGTTAGATTTTAGTAAGTGCCTGACAGTGTATAATACTCTGTTCTACTCACTGAATTTATAAAAATTTGGATCATCTATATTGCAAACAAAACCACAGTGATACTTGGGCTAAAAAGCCACTTAAGAGGATGACAAAAATCTGCTTAAGCCTAGGTAGTCTTCCAAACTGGAGGTTCACCAGTAAGGGTAAAATCTTATGCACAGTTAGCCACTGGGAGTGCTTTGGACTGAGAACAGAGTGCTGCATCTGCACCTACTAATCAATTGGTGCAGGGAGGTCCATGACTTTGGTGAAGATAATTGCTTCAGAGGAAAAAGTTGAAGGGGAGGAAGGCCAAAGTGGCTTAGCATAGTCTGAAACCTTGAGAACATGGTTCATTTTGAGGTATTCAAGCCACCTGCAGAGAAGGAGCATTTAGTGCATCCCTCAGACACATCAGGATTCAGGCAGAAGTCTCACGGACCTGGGCTGAGTGCACTTTGGACACTTCCATGGCTGTACCTTGCCAACCCTGGAGGTGGGGAACAGAATGGCAGCTTGATGTGAGACACAGTGAAAAACGTATCTAAGTTGGTTTTGGCTCTGTTCTGGGTTTTCTCTCTTTTGGGGATGCTCCAGTCTCCTGCCTGATCCTATCCCTGTGTGGAGAGGGCTTCTCTTCTCCATCCCAGTCTTGGGTGGCTAGCAGGAGTTACTGGAGAGGGTAACATGGCATTGAGGGAGAACTGCTTAAAAAGACTTTTGGGAATGGGCTGGACAAACATCCTTCAGAAATTATTTAAATGTCATTGGCTCTGCCCTGGGGGCATGGACTGCATGACTTCTCACCCTGCCTTCTGTGGACACTCAAGCCTCTTCTGCAGCACTTTGTCACAGAAAGGCCTCACATGCTTTTTCTGACAGGTTTGGAGATAGAGAAGTAATTTTATCCCTAGTTTTACCACGTTTCTTGAGGATCTCTAAAGGCCTCACATGGTGAGATTTAATAAGAGATCTGTGAAGCTGCAAGCTTGTCTTTGGACATCTCTTCAAAGATGCTCCTGTCTATGCACTGCAATCAGATGTGAGGAGGTTTATGGTAACTATCTTGGCATCTGGTATTTGCAAGTGATAGCATGAGGGATAGCAGAGGTGTAAAATCAGTGTTTACCAGGTACTCCTCTCGGCAGTGTACAAACAACCTCTTTGACACATGTCCCATTTCCAAATGTCCCACAAGCCAGTAGATTCCTGCAGAGGAATTGCAATTCCTCTGTAACTCTCAGCTCATTTACTAATGCCCTCAGAAGTTTAAAAGCCACTGCAAATGCCTGTTGAACAGCCAGGGGACAGGGTGACTGGTATTTAAACAACATACTGACGATCACAGAAAATCTACAGTGAAGTATATTTAAGGAATATTTTTTGGCTGGAAAACATAGCCCCAAGCCTGAGTCTAAAGAAAACAGGGGAAACAGATATTTTTCCTAGCCTTACATTCATTTGGCTGTCTTCAAGGTGTCCGCCTGTGTTCTGCCAAGGCTGAAGTTGTAGTTACAGCTTCCCAGCTGCTACCAAAGCAACTCTTGTTTACTTAAGCAAAGAGCCTGTGCATTCCTGGACACAGCTTCCTTTCCTCTGGTCAGGAAAGGGACTTATCCAGGGGAAAGTAAATGTTGCCAGCTGCACTGCTGACTTGTTTTGCTAGTGAGAAGGTTACGTTTTGCTTCAGGGCAAAATATCTGGTTATCTTATTTTCCGCTAGGAAGGATGCATCAGAAGTATCTCTTTGCTTGAAAATTAATATTCAGTAGGTGGCATTTGCAGGTTTTGCACAGGGCATTTGGGGGTCACTGGGATTTGGATACTAAAGAGAAGTTTCATGTAATGAAGCACACCCTGGGTTTGTGACCACAGACGTCCTAGTGACCATACAGGTCCCACAGGCAGCCTCCCGAGCCATGGTGCTCCCAGTGCTCCAAGCCCCATGGCTCTTGCAATACCCCTTCCCCTCCAGATACTGTCATTGAAGCAAACTTTGTGCCAAATGCTGAAAACTGTTCAAGTACTCTTAATTTCCAGATGAGCTGCAAAAGGGAGTCTGGTTGGAATACATTCACCTTGCACCACAAAGCAACAGTCCATGAGAAACCACCCGACACACCAGCCAGCTTCCTGCTACTGGCTTTTCACAGGCAATGTGAAATGGTCGGAATACTCTCAGCAAAACCTACAGAACTGGCTTTCATATCCCCACTAGGGTTCAACCACATGATAAAACCTTACAGTAATGAGCCTGTCGCTCTTAGGGGTGGAGGGGGCGGAGGAGGGAAGAGATGCTGCTTTTTCTGTATTACTCCACATCACAGATGCTGACAGAATTATTGATTTAGAACTCATGGCTCCAAAAAGACTCAGTAATGTAATCTTTTTAAGTTGGGGTTTTTTAAATTTTTTTTTTGTTTTCCCCTCTCAGATGTGATGTTTTCAATAGGCCCCTTAGATAATGGGCTCTTTGGGGATGTTGTTAAACTTGCTGCTGCTAAACCACAGTCCCAGCCTTCAGTTTGTTCCACACAACTCTTACTGCCTACTGTCTCCTGGAAGAGCCCATAGCTGCAAGGTCTATTGCTTTACAGGTACTCTAGGAAGATGGAGGGATTAAGTTATACATTATGTAAAACTACCCACTAATCCTCTTAGTGTGCATTACCAGTGAATGGCCTGAAATAGGCTCTCACTAAAAGAGCCCTAACATTCACTTTCTTGATGACATTTTAGTATTTGAGGTTTGTATCATGGATTTTGGTGCTGAAATATTCAGTACACCATCTTCTGTCTGCTGCTAGAGCCATTCACATGTCTTAGTAGAGTGCTAACAAAATTACAGTTGGTAAAGCAGATTACATGTTTAACTAGTAGCGAGACATGTATAAAATAGAATTATATATTTTCTAGAGTGACAGAGTCACATGGATTTTTTTGTTCCTTTTTTTTGTTCTTTTTTTTTGTTTTTATAAGAAAAAGAAACAGCTATAAAACCATGATTAAAAATGTTACAAGGGATTATTTCCATTTTAAAATAATGATACTTTTAGAAAAAAAAAAAAAGTGATTCATAACATAAAAGTGTTTGGAAAGCACTTGGTTGCTGTGTACTGCCTTCTTTCCCAGTACAGTTGCTATCTTTTATATAGTCTTGCATAAATGTTTATATTAGGGGAGAAAAGAAAAATTAAATGTGATGGCAAAGACTTATTAGAGCTGACTCACTGACTTGAGTTATTGCTGTGCAGAAAGTTTGTAAAGCCTTTACATCCAGCGAACATTTAGTGCTACTTCAGCCTTGACAGTTGACCTTTCAACATGATTTGGTTTAGCCACAATAATTGCAGCATCTGCAGTACAGGCGATGCAGACGACTGCTTAAGAACCCAACTTCTTCCATTAGATCTTACTTCATGCATCTAGAATTTAACCTCTCTTTGCATGGGTGTGCAATTTCTCCCATATTACCTGTTATAGGGACCGAGCAAGGTACAATACCCCGGCTCTTTTAATTTTTTTTTAATTTATTTTTAATTTCTCCCATAATTTTGAATATTCCTGGATTTAGCTTAGAGGAGGGAGGGGAAACCTCCAATCTCCTTCCTGTCCCCACACATTTAGTCAGTACTGGTTTCTTTTTTTTTTCTCAGTAAGACCTAGTGTAAAAAAGCAACCAACAAATCAAGTTAGACTGTTGTAATTTGGTCAACCACTCGGGTGCTATCCATATCCACCATTTCAACACACTCTATTTCCTCACGGTTTTCAGGATTCTTCTTCTCTTTCCTCTTCTTCTTGGAGGGTGGCAGGAAAGTCAGTATCACAGGTAAAATGGCAAAGCAGTGAAAGAAGGTGACTAATGCTATTAAAAACAAGCACCTGAACAGTGTACGGGTCAGATTTGAAGGCACAGCTGCAAGAGGAATCAGACCAACAATATAGCAGAGGTAGCTCTGCAAAATAGCTACCCCATGCACTTCCAGGGCGTTTTTCACCCATTTAGTTCTTGTGAACTCTTTGCCCAGGACAAAGGTTGACAACAGTGGAGCACAGTTGTCAATTGTATAATTAATTCCGTAAATTAAGCACAACACAGAAATACAATCTAGTTCCACTTTCCACAAGGTCATAAAACCTATAACTCCAAATTCAACTGAGGCAACAGTTAGAGTGAGCCAGACATTGATCAGAGAGTCTGCCACCAGGAATGCAGAGAAGAAGAGCAGAAATAAAGCACTAATGCAGGAGTTTTGTAAGGGGGCTCCCACTGAAGAGGCATAACGATCCATGTACACAAATGATGGATTGAAAACGATGAATTTCACCTTGGAGGTGAGAGAGAGCTTCCTCAGAGTCTCCAGGAGGTCATAAAGTTCTTCCCTCTTGGTTTCCATTGTCTTGGCCACCAAGAACATCCTGGAGGCCACAACATCAACTTCATTGTTGTATTTCTTGGAAAAGATGATATCCTCTGAAAAATGGGCAAACTGAGGGGTCTTCAGGAAGGAGTTCCTCAACATATCAGTGAAATTCTTCTTCGGCAATCCAGTAGATATGTTGAGTTTCCTAAGGTAATTTAAGTAGCTTTCGAACCAAGATATCCTCACAAAGCCCTTGGTATACTCCAACACGTCCTCCTGGACACTGGTGTTCCAGTACTCGATGGACTCATAGATGTAGAACCCAATGACGGGGCTGTAGTTACTGAAATACTTCTGCTGGGCAGTCGTGTACTCGATGGTCCGAGTCGCAGTCGCTACGATGTTGCTCAGGTCTGACCCCTCACTGACCTGCAGGTAGCCCATTAAGGCAAAGGAAATATAAACAAGGTAAAAGAGAACTACAAAAGGTTTGACATAAGTGTTTGTTATCCAGTCACAATAATAGCGTTTCAGGAACCACACCAAAAGATGACTCTCGTAAGTGTTCGTTTCCTCTGAATCATCCGTGTCCTCACTGAATCTGGCTGTCAGAAGAAACCTATACCATGCAGGCTTCTCTTGCAATACCTCTGGCTTTGGTACCTTTCTGCAGAAGATACTATGCTGGTAGTTGTTTTCTATGTAGCCAGTAAACACCAGGCTGGAACCATAAAAGGAGAGTACATAGAGGTAGTTGAAGAAAATTGCAATACAGGAATTGCAGCAGAAAATCCTGGCTGCTTCAATGTTAGTGAAGGGACTGGCACCTATTCCAAAAGTGACCAGGTACATGGCAGTGGTGAGAGAAAACGAGAGCATGGAGTCTGCAAATACAGCTGCAGTCCTCTCTTTAACGTGTTGGTCTTCTCTAGTTTTTCTCCAGGAGGACAACATTTCAAAAGTCCCATACAACCCATGACCTACAATAGAGAACAAAGGTAGTGTTTAAAGTATTCAAATCCCGAATTACACAGAAAAAAGTAGTTTGGACATGCTAAAAGAGTCAAAGGAGACACAGCTGGATGCTACCAGTGCTTGAAGGAAATGTCCTGCAGAAGAGAGAAATTATTTTGGAGGTGTAAACCACAGAAACGCATTTGCTACCTGCCCAGCAAACCTCACTGCCAGAGCTTGAGGAGAGTTCTGCACTGCTGGCACAGGATTCGTGGGTTAAAGAAACAGGATTTTTTTTACTCTGCTTGGCTGTTTAATTTCATTATTTCCGAGTGCCTGTGATGGAAGATGCTTTCAAATTAGTTTTTCCTGGTGATGGTATCTGACCTGTGGTGAAAACAAAGAAATACGACCTTGAAGTGCCGATGCTGGAAGCAGAGCATTAGTTGGCTGCTTTGTAGAAAATCTGCAAAAAATGAAAATTCCACATAAGCTGAAAATTATCAATTAAATTAGTTACTGATTTCTCCACTTCCTGCACAAATTTTCCATCAGGAAAAAAGAAATCCTAGAAATGAAACAAACAAATAAAAACACAAATAAATTTTAGAGAAGGACAGTGGTAAAACTGGTATGGAGCTGCTTAAGGCATTGGTTTCTTTATATATCTAAGAGCTTATAAAACCAAATACAGCACTATATTTCTTGGCAATGCCTACACTTTGTAATGTATTTAATTGACTCTTAAAATGGATATACCATTCACAAAAGGAAAAGAAAACCTGTTGACCTAAAACCCTGTGTTTAACCCCGAAGCACAGACAAATCAGGAAAAGGACCTGCTTTTATTTTAATCCCTGGTTGGTCATCTTCCTCTTACAGTTTCTATGTTGTGAAGATTCATTTGGAGGACACAGGCCTCTGCTCTCTGGCAGTGAACCTGAGCTGGGAATGCAGCCATTGACCATCTACATGGTGAGAGGAGCTGAAGGAAATGTAGTTTGATTATTTACACAGAGACAAACAGAATATAGTGTTTGCATCACACCTAAAATGCAAGATAGTAATATTTTCTCATAATAATTCATTTTAACGTTCATTTTACTTATGAGATCTTTTCCATATAATCCCAGCCTCTTTGCTGCCTTTTAATTCCTCTTCCTCCTTATTCTTTTGCTGATGTTGCTGTCACCTGTCTACTTCTCTGGTCTGCTCTTGGATTATCTCCAGAAATTCCCAAAAGTCAGTCCACTGTGTTTTGCTCTTACCCATCTTCTCTGATAGTATTAGATAAAATGATCAGTGCTAAATTACTTGCTGATAACACCGAAGTGAAATCACTGAAACTTTTGAACCTGATGCTCCTGTCAAGAAGGTCAAGGTAATTCACAGATCTTTCTTAGAATTTCAGGCTGTATCAAAATTTTGCAGAGTACCAAAATTGCTGTATCAGCTCTGTTCTCTCCACATAATTGTCTGTAGACAATTATCACTTTTGCTACAAGGGCTATAAATGCCAGTCAAGAAACCCCAATCAAAGGAGGTGTTTTGAAGAACTGGAACACCACAGGATACATTGGAACTAGATGATCTTGAAGGTCCCTTCCAGCTCAAACCATTCTATGATGCTGTGAATCTATAACCATTTGTTCTTAAATGCCTCAAACAGGCTTAATTGATTTGACAAAATAACCCTTTTGTGGTCAGCACCTTTTACTGTAGGTTCAGTTGTTGCCGATTCACTCCACCCTTCCTGAAATCTGTATTTTGACAGATGGCAGAGCTGGTCACTGTTATGCTGAAAAAAATAGGTATAGAGTATTTTATAAAGAAGTCACAATACAGAGCTCATAAGAGGAGACAATAGGACAGCTGGTGTATCTCCTTATCACCTGGTGTTTAGTGTAGCAAAGTCCACACTCTCATGTATATCAGATATTTTACCTATTTTGTTATTTAGAGTCGTGGCATGGACCTCAAATGTCCAATTTGTAGTAGTATTACAGATCTAGCTTTGGCATTCATCTTAATTTTCCCCAACAATGTTTTACAGCTGCTTTCAGAGGCCAGGTCAAGACTGTCAATTTGATAACTAGCACTGTGCCCCCTTTTAAAGCTAATGGGGAATACTGGAACTCCCCAAACATAAAATCAAGCAAAAAGCACAATCAGTGACTGGCACCCTGTTGCTAATTATGCTTCAAATAGTTATGTTCTAGGCTCAGTAGGGAAAGCTATTAAGCTTGCTTTCAGTGTGTTCTTTGTAAAGACAGACTGACCTTTATTTAAATGTAACTGATCACTTGCCAAAGTAGGGAGTGAGAGGTTTAATCCATTTATGGCTCCCACGAGTCCTGCAGACAGGCTCGTCTACGAATTTCACATGGCATCATACGCATTAGCATTGAGTGAGCAAAACAGAATAAAATGAGGTCATTGAATATTACAAATTACTTCCATCATGAGCTTTAGCTATAGCATGTTTTTGTAAAAAAAAAATAAATACAGCATTAATAGTCTCTTGCCTAAAAACGCTCAAATAGACATATTAATTGAATGAATCTTTGACTCTGCAATGAGAGAAGGAAATTAGAGCTAGTCAAATATGATGCTGAATATGACATTTTAACAGGTATAAGGCTTTGGATAATGCCTGATAACATGACTTCAGATACCCCATTCCTTCTTTAAGCAGGAAAGATAAAACCACAATTTGCTCTTACATAATCTTCAAGACTATCCTAAAATGGAATCTGATTTAGAGAACTGCTCAAGTAAATGCATGAAGAGGCGTCACCACATGTGCTCTGCAAAGTCAAGAGAAAAATATTTGGATACTCTCCTATTTTAGGATAGGTTCCTTTTGTTGTTTGCTACACAATCTGTGTACTAGGAGCTGGTATTTTCCTTCACTTGTACAGTTTGTGATTTCTCTGTCCATTTATATGATAGCTAAAGAATTATCATTTACATTTAGGACATGCCCAAATGACAAAGTTGCAGACTTTTTGCACCAGTGGCACTCCCGACCTGATCCAGTTTCCTCTGAGAAAAAAAAAAATTAGGCCCAAACTCAAGCACAAATTAGGCTTGGCAGTCAAAAGATTAGCTGTATTTAGCTATGATGGTATTTACCTAACCTAATTTACCTCTCTAAATACTGACTGTAAACACAACTTGGGTAACAATTTCTAACACTGTAACTCGCTGATGTTCATATAAGTCCAACTCACAGAGACTAGGGCAGATGTCTCCATGGAGGCATTTTGGGGGAATTTCTTTAACTTCTGTCATTTCAGAGTTTTCATTTTTTGCATCCCTAATCAATTGCACAAATTACCTCTATTTCTCTCACTGTTGCTACATGTACTACATGTAATATTAATGAGACGAAGGGAATTCTTCCCTTGTAAATAAATTCTGTAATTGCTTCAACAGATTTTCCCTTTTTAATAGAAATTTAGCCACAAATCTGTAATCATTTTGAGCAACTTGCTCATTATTCACGGTCATTCAGTAAATAATAAATATGAACTCAAACAGCTAATGGGCTACTGGAGATCTTTTCCTGCTGACATTTGCTGTTATGATTCACCGGTCGTGCCCTACAGTCAGGATGTACAATCACGAGCTAACAAGAAGTACACAGAAATAGGGGAGTTTTTTAAGAAAAAGAAGTTCAAGGTCAAAGGAAAATGTTAAAGGGACAGGAGAAAGGTATTGGACAAAATGGGAATCAAACTTTTTTTTCTTATTTTCTTTTTCTGCTACTTTGCATTTAGAAGATACTCCTACCATGTGTTGGAGGACTGAGGACAGACATTCTGACTTTTGTAGCCAAAGAAAATGAAGAGGAAAATTTCTGTTAATGCTGAGGATCTCACAGGTTTTTCAGCTTGAGATGGGCTACCTTTAATTTTAGAACCTGATAATCAATAGTAACACTACAAATAAACCAAATAAATTAGGCCTAGCTTAAATACAGAATTTTTATGAGTAGCCTGAAAATGCTATAAAAAGTTTCATTAGCCTCTTTCAGAAACAAGTCTTGAAATTACACATGCTCTGCAAAATCAATGCAGAGCATACATCAGAAAAAAAGCACTTGTAGGAAGTTGTGAAAATGAAAGCAAAATTTTCTCTTCCTTAAAATTACCGAATAATTTATCTCATTTTAAAATACTACTTATGTGCAGGCACTGAAATGGTTCTTTTTAGTACCATTTTTAAAGCTCAGAAATGCATCCTTTCCCCTGTTAAGTGGTTGTTCAAGCAAGAGGCCTTCGCGAATTGGCATGGGCAGCCCAGGCTTAGTGTTGGCTCTGCTCCTGACTGCAAACAGCCAGACCAAAGCAGAGGGAGGAGAAGGGATTTAAGCAGCCCTAGAGCCTGTGAGAGGGCAGCAAAGTGACCTTCTGGTCACTGGAGTCACAAACCAGTTCTCTATTGCTTAGCTTAATTGCTTACCTGAAACAAGGGCCGCTGCCTGCTTTTGTACAGCAAGGGCGGGGTATGTTCAATTTTGCACTAAAATCTTGTGAAGTTTTGATCTTATTGTGGTAAGATGAGGCTTGGATATCCAAATAGACTTTTTCCATCAGAGAAATTAAGGGGAATGGCTGAGAAAGAGGTTTTTGGTTCTTCTTTTTGCACTTTTACCCATCTATGAAAGTAGAGAATAATAGTAGACTGTGGGTCTCATCTTTTTGTCCTTATTGTTTTGAAGGTTGTATGTCTCTGTGTGTGTTTAATACTTGAGTAAAATCTTTCTGAGTAAAACTCCACTTAGAGGTTGTGAAGTTCCAACCTTCTGTGTGGAAGGTCGCATTTCAGGGGTAAAAATTTTATTAATCCCATTTCAATGCAGAGGCACACAAAACACTAATAACAACAGATTTGCCCCTCAGGGACTGAGTGCTGCACCAGGATGTATGGTGCCCATTAAAAGCCAATTAACACCAATAAAGCATCAAACTGTCTTCCAGAGGGAGCACACTTCACTAGTGGCAAAGCTGGGCTATGTGGT